GGGTGTTAACAAAAGGGTGGAGAAAGGCAGTGGTAAACACATTCCTTCTCATGCTTATTTCAAATGAGCTGTAGCATTTCTCTCTTCTTGATAAGTCTTGCTAGAAGTTGAAAGCTTTTTAATCATTTTTTTTTTCATTGAACTAACTGTTTAATGGTTGGTTTTCTTTTATATTTCTTTCTTATTTAATTTCTGGTGTTGTCTTTACTATGCCCTTTCTCCTATTTTCTTTAGTATTAATTGAAATGTTTCCCCAAACTATGGGTAAGAAACCACTTTGGAGTTATCTCTTCTTGCAGTAAGTTTGGAATGCCAGGCATTTTCGTAAACTTAACGATCTAATAGAAGGTTCCAGTTCATTGGATACCTTTGCAAAACCATTCCTTTTTTACACCAAACTCATGTGTCTATTGTTGTTTTCCCTTTGCACTCCTTTATTTACAGAGGTCATGGATCACCTTACATTTCTGATCTTTTCAGAGCATGTTATTCATTTTAATAATAGCAAGGTTTTGTTTGACAGCTTGGCTACTTTTTTCTATTTTATGAATATATACTCTTTCAAATTCAGTCTTAGATTCTGTGTGTAGGTATGCCTGCCACGGCACACATGTGGAGGTCACAGGACAATCTGCAGAAGTCATTTCACTCCTTACACCGCCATGTGGGTCTCAAGGATCAAGCCTATGTCATCAGGCTTGGTGGTGGATGCCTTTACCTGCTGAGCCCATCTCGCTTGTCTGGATTCTGTGCTCTTATTTATAGCAAATACCAATGTTTTAAAAGTTCATTTACCTTCTTATTCTGTACCTTCTGTTTTGCACATTTTCTTTCAATTTTTCCCCTCTCAGTCAAATAGGTTGAGCTTACTTCTTGCTAGTTGAAAGTGGGATGGCTTCATTGTTATGGCTTCATGTTCCACTGAATGATTGTGCCATAATTTGTTGAGCTAATCAATTAACTAGGACATGTAAAGTCTTTCCAATTGTATTCAAAAAATGGGTAACCTTGTTCACACTTCCTAATTCAAGTCTGTCTTACAGGTTTTTTGTTTTGTTTTTGGTTGTTGTTTTTGTTTTTGTTTTTCTGAGTGACTTTGGCTTCTGGAATTAATAGACTTTTTCCTAGGTTCTGTGTTAGGGTCAGGTGTCCAGATGCATTCCCTGGGATGAGGCATTGTGTCAGTGTCAATTAAAGACAGATGGAAGGATGGGAAGCAGGACATGGAAGAAAACATGCAAGGTGAAGTGTCAAGCAAATTCTCAGCTGAGGTAACTTTGCTTGAGTCCAACCCGGGAGGTATAGAAACAGTATAGGTCCATTTTCAACATGTCCACAGCAGGACAAACATACCACCATTCTTACAGCCCTGTAAGAGTTGCCCTACACAGACAAAAATTCCTGGTACTTCCACTGAAACAATGTAAAAAAGTCTTAGGGGCAGCCTATGGACAAAGACATTTGCAATGCTTGGGGGAGGGGCAATGTACATGAGAAGACCTGGGCAAATACAATTGCCTGCTGTTGTCTACTGCTCCTTAACCCCATGCAAGCCATGAGGAGAAACAGAAGCAAGAGATGCTGATAGCTTTGATCTTCTGGCTCAAAAACCAATGTTGGCCTCCAGGCAAGTCCGATCACCGCCAACTTTCCTCATCATCATTTACAGGTTAGATGTTCTTAGGTAAGACTCCCCATTTGTAACTGAGAACCATGATAATTCATACAACACAAAGCCTGACCCAAAGTCTATCATGCAAATCCCTGCCATCATTATTGTTCAGCAGAACTTTCCCAGAGTCACAAAACACATACCTGGAGGAATTTGACCTGCTCAGATAACCAGGAAGAAGCACCTTACAAAGCAAGGATGCTGGTATTTTCCGTTTTTCATAAAGTGCACACCTGGAAAGAGATTACCTTAATCACAAGCTGTTCTCCTCAGGGTCTACACTTGCCTGATTATCTTTTGAAAAATGGGACCCAGTTTCCAAGGTTCAGGTTTTGGAAATGTACAAACTAGTAGTGATTCCACATTGGAATTCCACAGCTATTGATTGGTTCTGCAACTTAGTACACAGATTACAGTTAGCATAAAAGATTTCAATGTGCACAAACTCATTGGTAAAAATGACATATTAAGGAAAAGATTACTTGGAGTTTGCTGATTGTAGAAGCAGCTCCTAGACATCCTTGCAGTTTGTTATAGCCCCTTAGGGTGAGAGGGTCTTGAGATAAGATGGAAAGGAAGAAACAGAACCTAGAACAAAGGTTTGAGGTTAGATGGTTTATGCAGTGACTCTGAGAAGTAAGAGTCGGAAAGTGAAATGGAGGTATAGAAGAGCCAGAAAAGACAGCATCTATGAGTTTGTTACTAGTAGGCACAAATGGGGTTTGGTGGTGCTGGAGGCCCTCTAAGAGTGTGTGTGTGTGTGTGTGTGTGTGTGTGTGTGTGTGTGTGTGGTGTGGTGTGGTGTTAGTATAATGTACACTACATCAGTAAAGTGTTACATGCTATTTTAGTTTGAGTTCACTGAGAAGCTGGCTCTGAAAGTGGAGTTTGTTCACACACACATACACACACACACACACACACACACACACACACACACACACACACCAGATCTAAGCATGCTTTTGTGAAGTATCCTTCAATACTTTTGCCACAAAATGGCCTGGTCTCCCTAACTCTATGACAGGGAGGGAATAGAATAGAAAACATCCCATGGGTAAGAACATGTGTCTTCATGGATGGTCCAGCGAAGGAGAAGGGGATGAGATCTACATGAGTGGACTGGGAATGGGGGTGTGAGCAGGCGGCGGG